TTGGACCTGAAGCGGCAGGGTGGAGTGAGTGGGGTGCAGGGCCAAAAGTGAGGCTCCGCTCCTGCTGTAGCCCCCCAATCATTCTTGACAGGCAGTTTGCTAGTGTATGTACACACACACACACACTGATTCACTATAGCTTATATATTGTATATCATATATATGCTATAGTGCATGGGTGTGCTAGAGCTTACATACATATACATACATACATACGTGTATATATGTAAGCTATAGCAAACCCATGCACTATAGCATATATATGATATACAGTATATAAGCCCTAGCAAATCAATGCTCTACAGCTATATATGTAGCTATATATGTGTGTGCATGTGTATATATGATATAGCACTGTACATGACATATACATAATGTAAGAGGGTAATAATGTGCTATATGACATAGTGCTATCTGACATATATAAAAAATCAGCGCTCAGATGGCACTATTTTGTTTTCGGAGGGAAGTGCTGACGGCTTTGAGCAAAAAAACCTTTATGACTGCAGAAATCCTGTCCCTCACCCCCACCGAGAACTACCAAGACAGAGAGAAGGGAAGGAAGAAAGCTTTTGGTTTTCTTCTTAGAGATGTATTGTAGAGATGTGTTATGGACGAAAGGGAAAGATGAGGGGAAAAAGGGAAGCATAACTCATTCTTGTTGGAAAAAGAGGGAGAGAGAGAGAAAGAAAAGAAGAAAGAAAAATGACTTCCCAAATTTCCAGCAAAGAGAAGAAAGGAAGAAAAGGGAAAAAAATAAAAGGAGACAAGGATGGAAGGGAAGGGAAAGGAAAGAAAAGAAAAGAAAGGAAGGAAGGAAGGATAGAAAACTATCTCATTTTGGGCCCCCACTACAAATTGGAGAGAGTCCAATGGAGGGCAATGAAGATGGTTTGGAGGCTGGGACACATGGCTTGTGCGAAAAGGCTGAGGGAACTGGGTTTATTATTGAGTTTGGAGAAGAAAAGATGAGATAGTTGGGGCTGATCTAGTTGGGGCTGATCTTACTTTAAGTGAGGGCTGGACTAGATGTGGCTTCCTGAGGTCCCTTCCAACCCCTGTTGTCTATGGTTGTTGTTGTCTGGGAGGGGATTTCATAGCAGCCTTCAGCTCCCTGCAGGGGGGCTGTAAAGAGGATGGAGCTGGACTGCTCTCAGTGGGGGCAGATGACAGAACATGGAGCAATGGGCTCAAGTTGCAGCAAGGGAAGTTGGCCTTAGGTATTAGCATTGGCAACATGTAGGGGGTGCATGCGGGTGCACGTGCACCCCCTGAGATTGGCTGTGCACCCCCTGGAAGTGCCAGCCTCAAACCGGAAGTGCACTTCCGGTTTTGCCACCAGCTCGGTGATCGGCCATTGAGGGCTCCCCCCACCCCCCGTTGGCAATCTGGTGCCCCCCACCCCGACTCAGGAGGCACCAGTCGCCCATGGGTATTAGGAACAACTTTCTTATGAGGGGTGTAGTAAAGCACTGGAACAGGCTGTCCAGGGAGGTGGCTGAGCCACCATCCTTGGAGGTGTTGAAGACCCCAGTAGACAAAGCCTTGGCTGGGATGATGCAGTTGGGACTGACCCTGCTTTGACGAAGGGGTTGGACTAGATGTGACCCCCGAGGTCCTGTCCAACCCTCATTGTCTGTGATTCTATGAAAAGAAGAAACAAAGGGAAGAAGAAACGAAAATCCCTTGCCAGCAAATCAACCCCGATTCCCATTTAAAATCCTCCATCCGTTTTGGGTGTTGGCAGCTATTTGCCAGCCACCAGCTTTCATGGCTGGAAGCTGAAAATTTCTTCAACCTTAGGTTTTGGTAAATCACCCTGAAAATCCTGTACAAAACTATCCCTTCCCCTGCAAAAGATGACAAACCACCCAAAAAGACCCCTGCCCCAAGAACAAACAAAAGATACAAGAAAGAAGAAAAATGAAAGGAAGAACAAGAGACAGAAAGAGACAGACAGAGAGAGACAAGAGGCAAAGTGAAGGGATGAAGCAGATATGAAGCAGGAGGGGCTGGAAGCCCAGACGCATGGGTTCTCTCTCTGCTCAGGGAGGGGGGTGGGAGTGGGGTCTGTCCATCCGTCCTTCTGACCTACCTATTCTTCCCACAGGGTCCTGGTCCCAGGAGCTCAGGGTGTCTCAGCCTGGCTGGGCCCAGGGGCTGGAGGGTGGCTCTGTCACCCTGCCCTGCTCCTACAACACCTCTGTGCAGGGTCCCCAAGTGGGCAGCTACCGCTGGGAGAAGGAGCCAGGGCTGAAGGTGGCCCCAGGGGTCCTGCCCTTTCAGGGGCGTCTGGGGATGCCCGAGGCCAGGGTCTTCCTTGAGGAGGGCCGGGCAGACCTGGAGATCCATGACCTGCGGCACTATGATGCTGGCACCTACCACTGCCTGGTGACCCTGCACGGAGCACCTGAGGTGGCCGGCAATGGCACCCGGCTGCACGTGGACAGGCCTGGTGAGTCATCCAAATGTCTAGGGTCTACCCCCATTGGGGGAGGGGAGGGTTTGGGGCAGGAGCTCAGAGTCCAGACACCTGGGTTCTCCTCCTTTATCAGGAAGATGAGTGGGGGCTAGTGGGTTAGAGCAAGGAGGGTTGGGGGCTTGGCTGCCTGGGTTCTGTCCCAGTGATTGGTTTGAGGGGCAATGGGGAGGCTGGGAGCCCAGATGCCTGGGTTGTCTGGGAGTGGGAAGGGGAGAGGGGTCTAGTGGGTTAGAGTGGGGTGGGGGGTTGGGAGCCTGGACACCTGAGTCCTCTTTTCCCCAGTTTAGCCTGGTCTGCGTGTGCAGGTCACCCCTGTCGGGAGGAGTCCTGGGGATGGGACCTGCTGCCTCTTCGCTTCTTCTTCTGGGTGTGTTTCTCACTTCCTCCTTCTCCTTCAGGGACAGGGACCAGCCAAACCATGAACTCATGGCTGTGGGGAGCCATGGGGGCTGGGCTGGGGGCCATGGGGCTGGTGTCAGTCATAGCCGCCATCCTGGTGTGTGTCCTACACAGACAGCGACAAGGTGAGGTCACAAGGTTGTCCTGTTCATGACCCCCTCCTTACCCCCTGATCCCCCACCCAATCCTGTGGCCACCCCCCAACCCATGACCCAAGTGCAGACCTGACCCCCTTTCTGGAGGTGACTCCAACTCCACCAGACCTCATACTTAGAATCCATCCTTGACTATGACCCCCAACCTCACCTCTGACCCCATACCTTGACCCAAGTCTCTACATATGATAGACCCCCCACCCTATCTGTGATCCCAACAGATTCCATGATCCCCAACCATGACCTAACCCCAGTTGCAACCCCACTCTTCCACCAACCGATCAACACCAACCCAACCCATGGGTGCAACTAGGGACCCCCCACCAAACCTTGGCCTCCAGCCAAACCCCAACTTGTGACCTCAGCCCTGACCCCAACACCAACCATGAGCCCAACCCTTAACCTCCCATCATGCACCCCACCCACATCTCCAGCCCTACTCACAACCCTCAAGCAAGACACCAAACTGTACTGAGTTCTTTCCCTTTGGACGTCCCCCTTCCACTTGCAATGTGACCTGATAACACTGATTATAACCTCATATATGATGCATGCGTTACGTCTCTTGCCTATTAATACCTATTTTGAATATTCAATTGCTTCTTCTTCATGCTGCCAAAGTCACATTTTTCAGCATTTCCACCCCAAAACAGAGTCAATATTATACATTTTGGTCTCAATCTTGGATCAACCTTGAAAGGACCCATTCTCCAAACACCTCTATTTGCTTCAGTGTTGAATCCAGGCTCATGATGACTGGTTATTGCCTCCTTTTTGGCTGCCAATGAGTGGTTCTTAATTGGCTGCAAATGATTGATCACCTCCCCACAGGTGAGTGGCTGAGGACTGTTGGCTCACCTCAAATTAAGACCTAGAGATTATTGATTGACAGTTATTGATTATCCCCTGTTGGGTGCTTGCCAGTCCATGACAGCTGGCTGCTGATTGACAAGGTTTTGCTATTAATTGGATATTATTGAACTGGTCACTTTCTAGTTCATGTTTCTCAGCAGCTGATTATTGTCTATTGGTTATACTCTGGAATTATGCCTTGTTGGTGGTATACTAATTCCTGATCAGTGACTATTGATTATTGCTGCTTGTTGGCTATTGGCTGTTCTCTGTGGAGTGACAAATTATTCTTGTTTAATGATTACCTGTCTGATTCTTGCCTTTTGATGATTGAATATTCATTGGGTATTAATGATTGGTTGTGACTTATTTGGCGACAGTGACTATGGACAGATCATTGATCATTGGCTATTGCTGATTGACCAGGGGTGTTTGAGAATTGATTATTGCTGATGGAATATTAAGCTTTAATTGGGTATTGACTGGTGGTTTGTTATTTGAGTGCTATTAGTTATTGCCGCCTGTTTACTGGTTAAGGGAGACTACTGATTATTAGATACTGGAATACTGATTGATAACCCCCTGACGATTGGTCATTGAGTTGTTGTTGGGTGTTGGCTATGGGCTCATTATTGCTTATTGGTTAATTGAATGTTGACTATCAGCTCTTGTTGATTGATTACTGGTTTTTTACTATTGATTAAATTTGAATGCTAATGAATGATGATGCATTATTGAGTTACTGTTGGCCACGTGGGTAATTGATTATTTGAATACTGAATATTAGCTACTGGTAATTGATTCTTGGTTCTTTGTTGTTCATTTCTCATTTATTGCTTTTTTTTCCCTTTAAATGATAATTGATTACTAGCATTTGATATATTAGCAAGTTAGTGTTGGTTGTTGGCTATGGGCTAAATATCCATTAGTGGTTATTTGGATGCTGTTATCTATTGGGAATTGTTTTTTGGTTTATCATTGATTGCTAATTATTGGCTAATTGCATTCTGCTTGAATTGTATTGGCTAATTGATCCATGATGATCCATTCTGGAGCTGTTATGGCTGATGGCTCTGGGATAATTATTGATTATTTCAGTTAACTCCTGCTTCATTTTTGGTTATTGAATAGCTCTTTTATTACTGGCTAACAATGAATGATTACTGACAACTGACTGACAGTTGATTCATGGCTATTGGTTATGGCTAATCAATCATTACCTGTAAAAAATTAGTCATTAGACCATACTTGCTAGGGATAAAGTAACTAATTCATTGCTAATTATGGTTTTAATCCCTCAACTACAGGCAGGAGAGAGACAGAATCTCGATGGGAGCACCCAAGACAGGTGAGACCCTGAATGTGCCCCAGGAAACAGGAGCACCCTCAGCCCCTCCATCCTGGCACTTGACATGGCAGTCCTGCCCCAGGCAGTGAGGGCAGCCGAGGCTAGGGCCAGAAAGAGAGAGCCTGAGTGTGGAGAGTGAAGGGGTGGAGGTGGGGAGAAGTGAGTGTGGGGATGGAAGGAGGAATGGATGAAGAAGCGCATTCAGGGCCAGATGGACAGAGCAGCCGGGTAAGGGTGACCCGAGTTGGGGTAACTCATAGGGGTGTGGGGTTGGGAGGCCCAGGGAATGCTGGGTGCAGGTGGGCTGACAACCCTCTCTGTGCCCAGGACCAGGCTGCTGGGCTGGAGCCAAACTACGTGGAGCTGCGGGTGAAGAAGGGGCATGGCCGGGTGCCTCCTCAGGAGAAGCAGCTACCTGTGGTCTACGCAGCTCTTGCTGTGGGGCAGGGAACATCCCCCTGGAGCCATCGGGGGCAGTCATGACTCCCCCCCCATCCAGGTTGTGAACCCAGCATGGGCCAGCAGGGGGCACCTGGGGCACATGCAGAAAACCCAGACGTCCAGGACACAGGTCCATGCTGCGCCCCAACTCACCATCAGGTGGTGCCCTCTTGTCCTGCAGTCACTGCTCCCCCCAGCCTGGCTGGTGTCCCTCACTCCTGACCCCCAGCCTCCTGTCCCCCACCAGCCTGGCCGGTGCCCCTCACTCCTGACCCAGAGTCCCTTGTCCCTACCTCCGTCTAGCTGGTGCCCCTCACTCCCAACCTGCAGGTCCCGGCTCCCTCCCCTCACAGCCCTCCTGATGCCCTTCACTTCTGACACACAGCCCCTACAGCCTTGCTGGTGCCCCTCACTCCCGGCCTGCAGCCCTCTGCCTCTCGCACGCTAGTGAACCCCCACAAAGACAGGTGCCAGAAATGTGTGCATGTGTTGGGGCCGGGGGCAGGGAGGAGGGAGTTTCCAAGCAGCCCTTGTGTAACTTTCTGTGTACGTGTGTCTTGCTGCTTGTGTGGTTTTCTTAGCCAGGGTATGAGACTTGTTAGAGCCCAGCTAACTGATTTCCTGCCTCCCCACAACCCTGGCCCACCCCAGCCAGACCTCAGCTCCTCGGCCAGCCTCTCCCCATTCTTTAAAGGCCAATACAATCTCATCTTGCTGCAGCGGAAACCAGATGAGATGCTTGAGGAGAAGAAACCACAGGGGAGAGAATAGGCCCTAGACAAGGGCATGGGGGAGTGAGGGGCACTGGCAGGGCTGGGGGGTAGTGGAGAGAGATTCAGGGCTATGGGGCAGAGAAAAGCAGCTTTTCTTTGGGCTTTTGTGTTCAAAGTGGCCATAGGGGTGACATGGGAAGGGAGAAGCATAAAAGGGGAGACGGGAGTAGGTTGTCTGGTTTTAGCCTTGTGAAACTTAGGAGAACCTGGGTCTAGCTTTTTCTCAATATCTACATCTCCTAGACATGTATCTTGTGTGTCTAAGCCCCATAGAAACACATTCCCCAGCTCTATGGCTCCTGGACCTGCGCCGCCCATTGTTACATCCTGTAGACCCATGTTCTGCATCACAACGTCCCCATGACCCACACCCTCCATCTGTACATCCCTTATACCTGCCTGCTCCATTTCTACATCCCCTAGACCCATATCTATCCATTCCTGTGGCCCCTAGACCCATGTCCTACATCTCTACATTCCCTAGACCCATTTGCTCCATCACTATGTCCCTGGACCTGCTTCTTCCATTGCTACATCCCCTAGACCCCAATCCTCCTTTGCTACATCTCTAGACTCTCATCCTCCAGTTCTACTTCCCCTGTGTTGTCCATTGCTATGTACCCTAGACATACATCCCCTATCACTATATCCCCTAGACCCCCATCCACCAATCGTTATGTCCTCTGGACCCACATTGTCCATTGCTGCATCCTCTGGACTCCAGTCCATCCATTGCTATATGCCCTGGACTTGTGTAACCCATTACTACATTGCCTGGTCCATCTCTATGTCCCCTGGATTTGCATCCACCATAGCTATATCCCTTAGATCGGCATTCTCCATCTCCACATCCTCATATCCATGGTCCCTGGACTTGTTTCATCCATCACTGCAGCCCCTGAACCTGCATCCTCTATCTCTACACCCCCAAGAACCATGTCTTCCATGTCCTCATTCCCTGGACCCGTGTCATCCATCTCCACATCCCTGAGACCTGTGTTGTCCATCACCATGTCCCCTAGACCCACGTTGTCCATACGCCACTCTTCCCAACAAAGGCTTGGGTCAACCTGTAATAAGAGAATTGAATAACTTCCAAACCAGAAGAAAGACAAATAGAGAAAAACATCTTATTGGCTCCCTTTTTTTCTTCTATATAATGTATGTTCAGAAATGTAGAAAGAAATTAAAAACATCACATTAAAATGATCATCATATCGTTAAATTAACCCCCCCTCCCCCCTGGTATTTGCCAACTTGGATATGAACACTTCATACTAAAAATGAACAAGAAAAGCAACAATAGAAGGCAGATCTCTTGCCAGACAAGAACAAGGGGTCACAACATAAAATGAATAGACAAGAAGATTAAAGCTAATAAAAGGACTTTTTTTTTCACCCAGTGGGTCTTTAAAGAGGCGGGGCAGAGGGTGTTCACCAGCAGACAAGATGGTGTAGCAAGATCAGGGTTACTGATTAGCTTACGAGGTCTTTAACCATGAAACAGTCTTTAATAACCAGGGGAAACATCCCACATCAGTTGGTCCTCAAGCACTAACACAAATAGAGTCCATAAAAGGTTAACTGACAGGTCTGAGGCCTCTTTAGCCCCTGAGAAAGTGCCTCCAGGTTGGTTTACCACTGCTCCTTCCTCCTGCAGTGTTTCCTCTCAAGCGGGCTACAACTCAGCTCATGGCATGGGGCTGCTGCTCTCAGTCTTACAGCCAATGGGTCTGTTCCCAGACACTGAGAGTCCCTGGTCTGGTCTCACAGCTACTGGCCAGGCTGCTCTCTCTTACCTTCTCTGTCTGACCCACCTCCCTGGGACCCTTTTAACTTCCTGTGGCCACTAATTATCTCCCTCAGCTGGCCCAGGCATAAAATCACAGACAATGAGTGTGGGAAGGGACCTCAGGAGGTCACATCTAGTCCAACCCCTGCTCCAAGTGGGATCAACCCCAACTAGATGATTCCTGCCAAGGCTTTTTCTAGCCAGGTCTTCAAAACCTATAAGGATGCAGATTCCACCACCTCTCTGGGTAACCTGTTCCAGTGCTTCACTACCCTTCTAGTGATTTTTTTTTCCTCATATCTAACCTAAATTTCCCTTGCTGCAGCTTGAGCCCATTGTTCCTTGTCCTGTCATTTGCCACCACTGAGACAAGTCCAGCTCCATTCTCTTTTGAACCCCCCTGCAGGGAGTTGAAGGCTGCTATTAAACACCCCCCCAGTCTCTTCTTCTCCAGACTAAATAAGCCCAGTTCCCTCCACCTCTTCTTATAAACCATGTGCCGCAGCTCCCTGGCCTTTTTTGTTACTCTCTTCTGGACAATCTCCAAATTGCCCACCACAGGCAGAGGGAGCAAATATTATTGGGGGAGGGTGGGAGGGCTGAGCACAGGTGTTCTTGTGCGTGTGCAGCCCCCACCCCGGCAGGTAAGTTTGTTGTGGGGAAATGGTGTGGGGGGGCACATGGGCGACTGGTGCCTCCTGAGTCGGGGGGGAACTTGCTACCCCAGTGGCCCTGCAGCCAATCGCGCCGACCGGAGGGGGGGGGGGGTTCCTCCATGGCCAA